AGAAAACTGAAAAATTTGGTCGATAGCGATCTGGTAGAAGCTCGAAATGCTCAAGTTTTGCCTTTCTTTATGCGTTTTTTGCAAAAAAACACGCACACATATTACCGAAAGGTTGTATGTGTGCGTGTGTGTGTATGCGTTGTGTGTCTATGTATATGCATGAAACAGTTTAACTTCGAGACTAAAAAAGTTGAGAAGCTAGAATTTTGCGGACGAAAATCATGACCGTACGTATGACTTCGAACTCTAGGTTAACTTTTTGGTCCCTTTTTACATGAGCTTTCTCTTATTCAAGTTTTATGACTCTGTTATAAAAAAATTCCAAATATGAGAGTTCGTCATTAAACCTCCAGTTGCAGACAAAGCGAAGAATACAAAATGAGTTTCCCGCATACTCAGTGTTCTAATCTTTCATCTCATATCAAAACTCAAGCTGTCTTGTGAGTTTGGAAAAAAACGTGAGGGGAAGACTTGAAATTTTCGTTCCACGCAGGATTTCAGCCTTTAATTTCTAGCATCAGTTGAGAGGGCAAAAGTTAGACTTCAAAGGACCGACATCAATGATCTCGTGCTTAAGTCCGGTTTAATTTTGCCAGTTCAGGACAGAAGGAGCTGTGAAACCGAAATCTTTGGATTTGAATCAAAACATGGTGCAGAGGGAATGGTCGGAAAGTCTTCGTGTGTAGCCGGTGCTGAATCGTATCTGAACGTCAAACATTGATTGTTTATCATGCTGTTTGTCGTCTGAATGACAACTTATCGAATAAAAAAGAATTGCCTCTGAAAACGCATCATTTCACGGGGCCGTAACTATACGTTGTTTTAAATTCCGCTCAAATCTTTTTTACTTTTGATAGACTAATTATTTTTAGGGCTTAGTTTAATCCATGTAGCGGTGTGCAAGGAGCGACACGAAATTGTCGAATATCTCGCAAGTGCGTTCCCAAAAAGCATCGATATTTTGGACGTGGTGAGTTTTTTCTTTTCAGAGATGATTGCCGATCGGGTACCATTGCAGTTCTCCCTCTCTTAAAAGAGCCGACAAAATAAAAAAATTTCGAATTTTCAGAACGGTCGAGCAGCAATACATTATGCCGCAATTCAGCAGAATGCAATTTATGATACTCTGATCGACTGCGGGGCGAACGAATTGCTCGCCGATCGGGTACCAATGCAATTCTCCTCTTCGTTCCCTTAGTTCGGACAGAAGTTTGTTTAGAAAGCATGGGCGCCCATTTTTTTGGCTGCGCTGCCAGCAATCATCTGTATGTGTTTCGAGCTTTCGAGCCTCTTTGAAGAAGGAATAGCCATAATAACAAAATTTTAGACTGGCCTAACAGCAGCACAATATCGTGAAAATCCCCGCACCACGCTATCAGTGCCGTCACCTCTAATGTCTGCCACAGCTGGACTCACTTTCAATCGATTCTTGCTTGACGAAAATTTGTATGACCCCGGTAATGCTAACTTTTCTGCGCAATTTTTAAGTAAAGCATTTTTTGAAAAAAAAGTCGTATTTCTATGCTTTCGCACTGACCGGTGAATTGTGCCAGTTTTTCGTGGCCTTTCGTATTAGAATCTACAAATTTTACCACCCCTTTCCAAAAAATAAATAAAGCAAGTGGTCAAAAAATCCTAATTCACGCGTCAAACACGTGCCTAAGAAGTAATCACACTTATTAATGTCTTTTCAAAACACATTCAATTTACAGTTAACTTAAAAAAAATAAGCTAATCAGTTTCTTGAATTAATCCTAAAGAGCATGGAACTCAGTGTCACTCAGCAATCTGCTGAACAATTATTCCTCACTAGTGATTTATTTAGTGATTTATTATTTATTTAGTAACAATAAACCACTTATGAGGAAAAGTTTTTTGAATAAATATTACATTCATAAGTCAAAAACTCCTCCGTATTCACTCCCAGTGAAAGGTAAATGTCTCGGAAACAGCTCGAATAGCAGCAATTGCCAAAGCAACCGCTTCCTGGTAAAATTGTCGATGTTTCTTTCGAAGCAAGCTGTTAGCGGCTCACACAGCTATAATGCATAAAAAAGTAAAGATCTACCATATTCAAAAAAACATAAAAATGAAAAAATTTTTTAAACAATATCCGCGAATGATTACAAAAACAATACACTAACGAAGTTTATTTTGGATGCTCCAAGTGAGAGCGACCTGAATCAGTGGCTTCTGGAAGGTAACGTTGATCAGCTGGAGCAAGTTCTTCTGGATGGACGTGGTCATTTGCTGGCTGACAGAACTTCTACCATTGAAGCTGTGAACGAATTTCTCAATGGAATACCCAAATATCAGGTTCTCTTGGTGATCAGCTTAGTCTTATTCTTCCAGTACATATTTACTGCATGGATTTTACTTGGCAGTTTGTAAAACTGCAGAATTCGTAAGAATTACTTGCCGAAAGCAAAGTGCCTCCACGGGATGGCAGTTTGTAAAAGCCAAACATTATCATTGATGCGCGTCTGAAACCTTGCTAAAAATTTCTTGAAATTATAATTTCTCATTTTGAGAGCAAAATCGACGCCATTCACAAGGCCGTAGAAGAGGGAGACGTACGTCGCGTGAAGTCTCTGATCGATCGCGAGCAGCTTTCGACAGCTCGCAATAAATATGGTAATTCCGTCTGGCCCAGTTTCCTCACTAAAGACAGTTTGTTTTTGCAGTAGCAAGAATTTGAATGTTATTTGCAGGAATGACTCCACTGCACACCGCTCTGCTGCATGGACAGACAAATACAATACGATACTTGTTAGCTAAATATCCCTCTTGCGTCAATGCCGTCGATCATGTAATTATTGTTATTGCCATCATTGTTACTGTTATCAATATTATTATTTCTATTATTGTTAACGTCATTATTATAATTATTTCTGTTATTATTATTAAAATTATTATCATTATTTTTTTAAAAATATTTACCACTAAAAGATCAATCACAAGATCCTCATTTTTCGTCAAAGTCTATATTGAAAACAAATTTAATAGAGCTTCTAGAGTCTCTAATAATTTTATTGAAAAGCGAAGAACATATGTACAAATTAGTGTTGTTGTATGCAGTAATAACCTAGGGATTTAAGTGAAGAGGATTTCCAGGCGGGCCGAACAGCGCTTCACTACGCATCGGCTGACTCGACTGGCGAGCATTTGATCAAACTGCTTCAGAGGGCAGGCGCTGATGCGTTCGTTGAGGATAAGGTTAGATTGCTAGGATTTCTAGTGAAAACCACAAAGAAGAACTGTGCCTTTTGTATTCACTATTCGCTGCTAGGTTTTGAAAACGCCTAGCAAAGCAGAGGAGCTGAAGATGATGTAAAATTTCCACGCGAAATCATGCACTAACCCAGTAGGCTGATGTCAAATATCTTAGAACGGGGTTGAACTAAAAAATAACTAGAGAATAATTCTCCGGGATAGAAAATGATGATTTTTTAGATGTTTCTTACAGCTCGGACATACTCCTTTTTACTACCGAACGCATGGACGCCACTTGAACATGAAGATGCTGAAGGACAATGCAGTGATGAATGAACTTATCTCGGGCCAAATGAACAGAACATTGCTTCAAGGTTTTTTTTTTTGTTCTGCATTTTAAGACTCAGTGCAGAAACTGATCTTATAGGGACTGTTCTGACAAGGAATCAGCGGGATATTCTAGATAACTGAGCTATGCGGCGTGTGTAGAAATCTTTTTCTGAAATAATGGTTTGATTATTTGAAAAAAAGGATTTGTTGGCAAGGAAATAATTACGGTTTTTGCTAAAATTACCGCGATTAATTTAAATAATTCGATTATACAGCTTAGTATGTGAGAGAACTGACAGTTTTCTCGGTATCGCACAACAAATTTTACATAGTCCGACGAATTTGTTTGATTAACTGTGCAGACTGATATTAATCAAAAAATTGAAAAGACTGGTAAATGTGCTTTCATTTTCAACAATATGGACGGGGAAGGGCCGGGGAGAGAGGGAGGTGAAGAGGACAAAAAGGCTAACAGTGAATGTTTGACTTTTCTTTACTTTGTAAGATCTGGAAGAAGATGTCTCGGATTGGATTCACACAGGAAATGTCGGGAAGCTTGAGGAACTGGTTCTCAATGGCTACGCAGATTTTCTGCTTGGCCGATCACACGAAGTCGACGATCCGGATACTGTTAACTTCCTTGACGTGCTGCCACAGTACCAGGTTGTTATCTGTTCGTGTCGCGATGCTAGAATCCTTTGAGGGACCCTAGCTAGCGCTTTTAATCAATTAGACTTGTCTAGACCTAGGACTCTAGGCACTATCAGCTTCTCAAATTGCCTATCTCTACAATAAAATACTCTTGTGCTGAAGGCAGTGACTGGTGATATGTGGTCATTTGCGAAAGCAGAAGAGCGAGCGCTGGCTGTGACAAAGCGATTTATAACCAACCGACTTTCTTTCAAATGCGCAATGCGACAATGCAAGAAAATAAAATCCGGTTGCAAGGGCATTTTTCTCGTCTTGGCGAGAACCGATGAACACTGTGGGTCAGCCAGTGATGCATGTGAGAAGCTCGAGCAACCCCCGAAGAGTTGGCAGATATACATCAAACGCATTGGACTGATTTGCTAGGGAAACGCAGCTGAGGATAAAAAGGCCTAGTGTCCATTTTGTGCGTGCTTCTCAGAGTAATATCACTGAAATCTAATCTCTTATGAGGACTCTCCAGTTGGTACTAAGCTTTTTGTATGATTCCCAATCCGCCACTTAAAAAAAGACAAAACCTCTTCCGTATCTATCAGTGATAAATTGAACTCGGAATTAGCCTGACTGGTAGCAAATGCCAACAGCAACTATCCACAGACAAAACTGTCGATGGCTACCTCGTTCACAATCGACTTGAAAATTTCAGGCGAAGATTGAGGCGACGCACAAAGCTATCGAGACGGGTAATCTGAGAGCAATCAGAATACTGGTGGATCGTAAGAAAATGGCGTTTTGTCGAGATGTTCGACATATGGCGCCGCTTCACAAAACCCTGGTTTTCGGCCAAACTGATATCGCCAAATATCTAATCAAAAATTATCCGCAGTCAACAAACGCCATGGATCAGGTTTCTCTTTCACGTGTTACTGCTACTCGCCCGACAGTTTCTGTTATTTGATTTATTTTTGCACAGTTTTTGCGTTGTTTATTTGTGTTTCTGGATAGTTCTGCTTCTTTTGCCACTCTTCCTGCTGCTCACTTCGTATCGCTTTTGGACAGTCTCCTGTTTTCACTGACTGGTTTTTTCAAGAACTGAGTCTCCTTTTTTGTTCCGGAATTCCTTATTTTCATTGTTTCGATGTTTTTAATAGCAGGGATTTATTGTTTTCTCTTTGACGGTTGCTTTTTTATTTAAATCACAAGGATTTTCTGTCCAGAATAAGCGAACGCCGCTTCATTACGCAGCAGCGTTACGTGACGGTGGCTATTTGTACAAGCTAATGCGAAAAGCTGGAGCTGATCCAAATGTTTACGACTACGTAAGTTATCCATAAAACATTTTGAAATGCGGGAGCGACGCAAACTGAAGAATGAAATGACACTGAAAAACATTTTGAAAAGTCATTTTTTGTTGAACAGGAAAGCAAGTTCGACGAAAATTGATGAGGAAACCCGCCTATTCTCAAGTTATTGATAAGTGTAATGGAATTTCTTTAGTTACTGCCGCTTTCAGATCCAGTGCAAGAAAATACTTAATATCTAGATTTGAGTGAAATTTTTCAGAGTGGTCGACCTCCGAAATATTATTTAAAATAT